GTCCCGCAGTTACAATAAACTTTGAAGATACAAGAAACCATTTTTTTGCTTACTTACGACAGAGACGTATCCCTGCTTACGGTAAATATGGTTGTTTTCTAGGAATATTCACAGCAGGCGATAAGAATCACGTCAGCTCGATCTTCTTCAACAGCACAGGTCGGGGATGTCCGTGAGCAAATTCCGTAAAATATATTGTCCAAAATTTATCAATAGTTCAACCACACTATGCTTCTTTTTTGAAATATATAGTAATCGTATTGTTATTAAAAAAATAAACTTATTGTGGATGCTTTTAAAATAGCGATTTAAAAGATCGCGGCATTATTTGCGCAGAAAATTGCCGCTAGAGGGCTCTAACTCTTTTCGATATTTCAGCCAATGAGAAGGCCAGGATCGGTATATTTTGTCTGAAAGGCCGTCGCAATAGGCTGTACGTACTGAGTACGTTTAGCCTAAAAATCAATCAGTGTTTCAAGAAAATGTGATATTAACCGGAAAGTGACCTCAACAAATGTGACATTAAGTGGGTTCCAAAGTACCTCAAGTGAGCTGTAAGTTGATTATTGAAATATTAAATATATACAAAAACATCCAATTAGTAGATGTTTTCCTATGAATGACGTATGATATTTGCATTTCAGGACTTTGAAGATTTTCTTACCTGTGTGTCTGTTGGTTGGCTTTTTGTTATGGATGTAGTTCTGTTGTTCTTTAAGTAGGTAAATGCAAAGAAATGAAACTTTATTACACGCAACTTTTATCATATACCAATGGCATTAACAAAAAAAACATGTCTAATTCGAATTAAATTTTTTACACTATATGAACCCTTTAGACAAAATCAGAAAAGAACGCTTAAAATCTTATTTTGAAAAGTTTTAGATAAGGGTTAGGTCTCAAAAAAATTATTTCCAACAAATATTGATGTCAATTCTTAGTATTTAATGCTTCCCAACTTCTTATTGCAAATTAAAATGAAAAATCAAATTAAAAAATCTAACCCTATTGACTTGCATTTGTTTATAACGTTTTTTTCAAGATGAGGGTTAGAGTAAGAGTTGGACCAGAAACATCTTTTTGACCATATTTCAACTCTGACATACTGGTCAAAAAAATAAAAAACAGAAAATTCACTTTCGTTACTTGCAAATTTTCGTTGCAAAATTGCAGTTACATAATTGCACATTTTCGTTACCAGACTGCAGTGTTTCGTTACATTAATGCATTTGATTGAGCTGGGTCGCGGAGGTAGCGACTGTTGTGTTTCCTCTGTTGAGTTGTCGGCACATTATTAGTCATCGTCGTGAGTGTGAATCTACATTAACATTCGTATTTCTTTATTTGGGAGTGAGTGAGCGTGTGTGTCTTCTGTAGAAGTGATAGATTCTGTTCCAGTGTTGTCAGAAATATAATTTTCATATAAAGGAGAATTAGTTTTGACGAAATGTCCTCTCCGACCTCCTTGGAGCAGAGATATGATCCCTGTGTGAAAATAGAGGAAAGACCTTTAAATTCCTCTGTATAAATGGAAGGGTGATGTAAAAGTTTGTTTAACGATGGGTATTGGTTTCTTAAGCAGGAGGGGAAGGGCAAATTAGGGAACATAGAGCCAGTTATTTTAAATCCTCAGTCTTCTGTGGGAATGCATAGTTTCTTAGAATGTCCTTACTTTGTCTTAATCACTTTAGATGATGGTAAATCAATTTTGAATTAAAGGTAGGTCGCCACCCCGTGGTACAGGAGAACAGGGTACAATAAGGGAAAAAGAGAAATTTCTTTATAATCCCAATTATATGGGTATGCATTGACAGTATGTTCTCCCAGTTCGGTCTGAAGTGTCTATGGGTGAAAGGAAAATCAATTTTGTATATCTTGGCTGCATGAGGTGGGAGGGGTAGCGTCCAAAAGGGAAAAGAAAGCAAATTGTTTAAAAACCTTCTTCCAAAGGATGGCCTGGATTATTTTCCAATTTGGCCTGAAGCATCTTACGTGCAAGTGTTACCGATTTTGCATCAATGATGGGACCCAAGCCCCTCAGGAGCTGGAGGTGTGGAACCCATTATAGAAAACTGAGAATTAAAATAATTCTTCCACTGTAGGAAGATTCTGTCTCAATAGAAGAAATATGGTTGATATGTTGTCCTAAGAGCTAGCGGATTAAAAGCGGGTTAAGCTAAAATGCCTCATCGACAGTAGGAATTAAAGAAAGTTTGGCTAAAATATGTAACATTGGTGGTGGGTTAATTTTGTTTTACTAAAATGATGTCACACAGGCTGCTGGAGTAGAGAATTTGAAAAGTTTGACTTAAATGTAGTCACAAAAGACTGCATGATTAAACAAGTTTGATAGAAAAAGTCACATAAGATTAGATCAGTTTGACTGAAATGTTTCCCAAACTGTCGGATAAGGGAAGTCTGAAAATAGTTTATTCACACAAGACTGTCGGCTTAGACAAATTTTACTGATATCTAGGTGTCACCCTTACTGTTGGATAAGCCAAAATTGATTGAAATGTTGTTATCACGGAGACAGTACGATGAGACAATATTGATTGAAATTAAAAGTTTTTCGTAAAGATGTCGGATTTTTGGAGACCTATGACTCAAATAATTTACTCAAACTATCATACTAGACAAATATAGAAAAGCTGCCTCATAGACAGTAGGATTAAGGACATGTTTCGTGAAAATGTTCTTACGCATACTATCGGATAAGATTGATTTGAAATGTCCCTCAAACTGTCTGTTTAGACACGTTAGACTGAAATGTCCCTCAAACTGTCTGTTTAGACACGTTAGACTGAAATGTCCCTCAAACTGTCTGTTAAGACAAATAAGACTAAAATGTTGTCCCTCAAACTGTCTGTTTAGACAAATAAGACTGAAATGTTGTCACCCAAACTGTCTGTTTAGACAAATAAGACTGAAATGTTGTCACCCAAACTGTCTGTTTAGATAAGTTCGATGAAAATGTTGTCCTTCAAACTGTTTGTTCAGATAGGTTTGATAAAAATGTTGTCACTCAAACTGTCTGTTTAGACAAATAAGACTGAAATGTTGTCACCCAAACTGTCTGTTTAGATAAGTTCGATGAAAATGTTGTCCTTCAAACTGTCTGTTCAGATAGGTTTGATAAAAATGTTGTCACTCAAACTGTCTGTTAAGATAAGTTCGATGAAAATGTTGTCCTTCAAACTGTTTGTTCAGATAGGTTTGATAAAAATGTTGTCACTCAAACTGTCTGTTAAGACAAATAAGACTGAAATGTTGTCACCCAAACTGTCTGTTTAGATGAGCTTGATGAAAATGTTGTCCCTCAAACTGTCTGTTAGATAAGTTTGATGAAAATGTTGTCACTCAAACTGTCAGTTTAGATAAGTTTGATGAAAATGTTGTCACTCAAACTGTCTGTTTAGATACGTATGAATAAAATGTTGTCAGTTAAACTGTCTGTTTAGATAAGTTTGATGAAAATGTTGTCACTCAAATTGTCTGTTTAGAAAAATAAGACTGAAATGTTGGCACTCAAACTCTGTATAGAAAAATAAGACAGAAATGTTGACAGTCAAACTGTCTGTTTAGATAAGTTTGATGAAAATGGTGTCCTTCAAACTGTCTGTTTAGATAAGTTTGATGAAAATGTTGTCACTCAAAATGTCTGTTTAGACAAATAAGACTGAAATGTTGTCACTCAATCTGTCTGTTTAGACATATAAGATTGAAATGTTGTCCGTCAAACTGTCTGTTTAGATAAGTTTGATGAAGATGTTGTCCTCAAACTGTCTGTTAGATAAGTTTGATGAAAATGTTGTCACTCAAAATGTCTGTTTAGAAAAATAAGACTGAAATGTTGTCACTCAATCTGTCTGTTTAGACATTTAAGATTGAAATGTTGTCCGTCAAACTGTCTGTTTAGGTAAATTTGATGAAGATGTTGTCCTCAGACTGTCTGCTAGATGTAGCCAGACAAGATTTTCGGATTATCACACAGACTGCAACATAAGACAAATTTGACTGAAACTTTGTCATTCAAACTGACTGACGAGACAAACCTGAAATATCACAATCGGATGAGATACGGTTACTTAATTATTGTCACATAGACTATCGGAATAAACAAATTTTGACTGATTAAACGTCACGCAGACAGATAGATCGGACAGATTTGAGAGAAACAATATCATATAAACTGTCGGAATATACAGGCCTAGCTGAAATGTAGCTAGACAAAACTTTTGAAAAGACAAAAATTAGTGAAACCGTGTCTATCGCATTAAGAAAGTAAAGAGAGTAAACAAAAATAACATATTTTTTTATCACACTGTTGTCACATCGACTCTTAAAGTAAACAAAAGTCACACAGTATGTTGGATTGACTATTATGCTGTAATACACTGCATTGGACATGTTCGACTAGAACCTTGTCACACAGACTCGCTGGAATGTCTCATAGAATGTTGAATTATACAAAATTGTCGGAAACGTTGTCTAGTAGACCACAAGATACAAGCAATGTTTTCACATAGAGTGTAATACGACAACTTGGACCGAACTGTTAACACAAAAGTTGTTTAGAAAAAAAAAACTGGCTAAATATTGTCTTTTGAATTTGTTTGATTAAATTTAAGTCACAAAATACCTAATACTTAAATAACTTTGAGTGAGATATTGCAGCAGAAACCGGTGGATTAGACAGTTTGACCAAACACAATTTTATCATACAGACTGTTTAATCAGACACATTAAAATATTGTCAGAGAAACTGCTGGATTAGACAGTTTGACCCAAGAAAATTTTGTCATGCACATTATTTAATTAGACACATTTAAATATTTTCAAAAAAACTGTCGGTTTAGACAGAATTTACATACATGTTTTCATACAGACTGTCGGATTAGGCAATTTTAAGCGAAATGATGTCACAGATTGTCGGTTTACATAATGTATAATACTAAATCCTTTTGCAATGACAGCGACATGTTTTGTTGTTCAATTTTTATTGCGTCCTTGACATTCGCTACTTGATATTGACCAGTTTATCTTGTATATAGTCTAAGGGACTAGGGATATAATTATTGTTAATCTATGGACACTTTAGTTCCAATCATTTGTCACACAATCCATGCTAAGCCTTCAAGTCTTTCTCTTTCCTACACACCAACACTGGTACATGAGCGTGATGTACAATATAGTCACTGACACTACCCATCACTGTCCTCCGGAACTTTCCCTGTCCCCTCGTTCCAGTTACAATCATACCAGCCTTTTCCTCATCCGCAATCTTTACGATTACCTCTCCTGGTTTCCCAGACCCCGTTCGAAATTTCCCCTGGATCTGTGTTAAGACCAAATATTCGTTTTATTAGTGTTAGCAAACATTAAGAAGACCATGTGAAGATATATTCATGACTTTAATATATCTGATCAAGTTTCTAACAAAACTGACAAGAGAATTTAAAGTCATCGAAGGACAAAACAAATATATTCCTGCCTTGAACTTTGAATACTGCATTATGCGAGTTTAATAACCAAAGCATCACTGGCTTGAACATTGTATCTTTACAATGAAAATTGCCAAAAATATTATAGACAGGAACATTGTATCATGCTATTAAAACAACCAAAATATTGCAAGAATGCAATGGTAATAATAAGCAGAATATTGCTGGACAAAACGATTCAAGGTTATATTCCAACATCTTTATTGACCAACATTGAGTAAAATGACTAAAAGATAGCGGGTTTGAACATTGAATTCATACCATTAATTAAATATTGCTGCCCTCAAATTTGTGTCATGGGTTAGAGTTGTGGCATGACTATCGTATCTGGATGAGGGTAATCACCAAAATATTGCTGAATGTAACATTCAACCAATACAATTGTAATGACCAAAATAGTGCTACCTGAATATGGTATCATATGAAATGTTGTTTGCCTTATCATTATTATTGTACCGTAAAATCGTATTCTCCAAATTATAATGAGCAAAATATTGCTTGCCCGAAAAATATTATATAATGATAATGACATTAACTTTGATTATATACTAGCGGAAAAAAGAAACGCAAGTTCACTTTTGGTAATATAACTTTTTTATCCGTAGACCAAATGTTGTGAAATGTGACACATAATCGTCGGTTTAAATTCGGTCAACCGTGACTTCGGGCGACGCTGCCCGATTTGAACAGATTTTCCAACAAAGCGTGCGTCCGTAGCACTACCACGGGCTATCAACTTGAAAACCATACCAAATCCAAGTTATGAACAGCAAACATCCAGTGCACAACATTTCATTCCAAGGCGATTAAAAAGCAGCATGCCAAAAATGTCAGAAGTTGATAGGGGTAGGGCTATTGCCCGAATTCTACAGGGCCAATCGCAACGTCTCGTCGCCCAGCAATTTGGAGTCCATGAGTCAACGATAGCTCGATCAGTTGGGGCCACGGGAAGAGTAGCTGACCGTCCCAGGAGCGGACGTCAACGCGTTACGACGCCACGTCAAGATCAGGGCATACGTCTCTTACACCTACGTAACCGATTTCAGACAGGGACGGAGACGGCAAGTCATATTGTAGGCACTCATGGTCGCCGTGTGTGTCCAAGAACAGTTAGGAATCGGTTGCGGGAGGTCAATCTAAGGCCAAGACGTCCCTATGTTGGTCCGCAACTTACACCCAGGCGACGTCAACGTCGAATGCAATGGCTGCGTGCACATGCACCAAATCGGTTTCGTTTGGTCCGCTGGAGATGTGTGTTATTTATGGAGGAGTCTCGGTTCACGTTGTACAGGTCAGATGGACGAAAACGTTGCTATCGACGTCGCGGTGAGCGATATTTTGACGCATGCGTTAAAGAAAACGGCAGATTCGGGGGAGGGTCTGTTATGGTTTGGGCGGGGATTTCTCATGGCGTGAAAACACCTCTCGTGATCATCCAAGGCAATCTTACAGCCGTCCGATATCGGGATCAGGTCCTCATTGCTCATGTCCTTCCATTAATCCAAGCGCGAAACCTTACATTGCAGCAGGATAATGCAACGCCGCACGTTGCTAGGGTGTGTCGTAACTTCATCAACCAAAACAATGTCCCAGTACTCGATTGGCCATCCTACAGTCAGGCTCAGGAAGCGCGTCAACGTCCCAAACAACGTCGCTCAGCTCACGCAGGCCCTTCTTCAGGAGTGGAATAACATCCCACGAAGGACCATAAACAATTTGATGGGGTCAATGGTAAGGAGAGTTAGAGCAGCGACTGCAGCTCGAGGTGGGCACACCCGCTATTGATTTTGATCAGGAAATGGGGTAGTAGAGTATCCACGTTTAAACGCTATCCATGCCAACGCCGGCTGTGTTAAGACAACAGAACTTATCAAATTTTAATCAGTAATGAGGAATTAATATAAACAGCTTAACAATGATATGATCATCCATAAAACATTTGAAATATTTACCACCGGACAAAAACTTGCGTTTCTGTTTTCCGTTAGTATATTTGTTTTTTTGTTTCAAGATTGTTTTTAAACTATTACAGCAATAATTTTATTGCAAGTTAAAATACATTCCTGTTATATAAAAGATGCAGTCTGTTTACTATTATAAAAGTCTCCTGTAGTCTCCACAGTTATATCATCATCTCCAGAGGAATAGCTCTTATTTCTTCGGTTACGTCAGTTAGCCCTCAACACCATCTTAAATGTACTTTTAGCAAATAATATTTATCAGTTTGGAGAAGCAAAGGCAGGTTTTTGTGACATTGACCTCTTATCCATGTTTCATTAAATAACTTGATATACCGGATGTTAATTTTGACTAGTCAAATTCTATTCTTAGCAATGATCCCTTAATCTTGGCTTGATATCTGAAACACAACCCCTACCTACATATTTCAGTTCTCAACATTGTTGTAAGGTTTCATCAAGTTGCGTCATGTAATAAACTGGATAAAGAAACGAAAAAGAATTGTTAATGGACGGAGAGAGGCGAACGAACGAGATGTTAGTCCGTAGCAAATTATATTTTCAAATACTTTGATAATTGATAATTCACCTTGCCATCGACTTTTGCCTTGTACTTGTCCTCGATGGCTTTAACCTTCACTTCCAGTTCCTCTAGTATTTGTTGTACCACTCCGGGACCTGTAAAATCACAGTATGTATGCTGCTTGATTCATGGTAACATTGTGGAAATTAAAGGATATTTACATTTATGTCTACTCCAGTCAATTTATCAAACTCCAAAGCAGCTAAACGTACACAAAATCATTTGTCACTGATACAATCGCAGATGTTACCCTCCATATATCATTGCAACCTAACAAACCGGCATGCAGTGCTCAAAGAAAACGTTTTATCAGATGTCAAATTCCACATTCGCTAAAAGCATGCGGCAACTTTCAACTTTGAAATGATTTGATTTCTGTGACAAATAATATTTTAAAAAAGCAAGAGGCCTGGTGCCCTTGAATGTCAACTGAGACAAGCATTATAAGGTAAGTACTTTCAGGTGTAACAAAAAGGAGATTGTAACATTAATGACAATAAGGTATACATGATATGTGTTAAGCCTTTCAGGCCAGTGAAAGTTAATATGTGCATACCATCCAAACTGTAATGTTATATTGGTAATTTTGCGAATTTAAATTACATTACATGAATGAATTATGTTCAAATAATGTACTTTTCTTATATAATCTATAGAAACATTTATCGATTCCCCAGAAGGAAAGTTGAGACCAATTGTCATGAAATTTGCAATTTTGGTAAAGCACTTAGAGACCCTTCTATTCCTGATTTTTATTTATTCTACTATATGAAGGTTTCTGGCATTTAAGTCAATTTGACCACTATTGGTCCCGCCCATTAGCCCCTAGGATTCAGTCAAGATCAAAACGTTGTACAATGAAGCCACCATGCTTCGCCAATAATTAAACAAATAATGATCAACAATGTATTTTTCCTATATACACTATAGAAAATTTTACACTCTCCCCAAGGGGAAAATAGAGACTCTGGGGCCATAAAATTCACAACTTCGGCAGAGTACCGTAGGACCCTTTCATCCATTAAGAACTCTTGATTCTACCATATCTTGGCATTTAGATAAAGGGTTTAAAATTTGAGTCAATTTGACTCCTTTTGCACATCCGCACATCAACCCGAGTAGGTCAGCCAGGATCAAAATGTGAACACCATCAAACCTTCGTGTCGTCCTGATAAGTCTAACCAAGTTTTAAATTATTCCAGTGGAAATGATACAAATCATACTTAAACTATACCTTTCCTATATAAACTAGTGTAAATTATAACCACCCTCCTCGGAAGGAAATGTGAGACTCATGATATTAACAACTTTGGTGAAGCACCTGAAGACTCTGCCACCCACAAAGATTATTTGGTTCCACTATATCTTGTTGTTGAGAAGTATTTTTAAATTTGAGTCGGTTGGATTCCTTTTGGCCTGTCCATCGGACCCTTGGGTGGGGATGATATAATTCAATATTTTGTTTATCTTTGGTCAGGAAAAGTTTGAAAATATTATTGAAATTTTAGGTGTATTTGAGAGGAAGTCAAAACGCTGAAAAGATTACGGACACACGACGCCGGGAAAAGTCGATCGCAACACTTTATGTCAGATGACCAAATTTGTTAGGTAGTGGAATTAAAAGTGACAAAAATTAAAATTAGTTTATAAACATTCGATGCAATGTAAAAGTCATGTATAATTAACTCGGTTGTAACATTGATGGAATCTAATGTTCACCAGTTTGAATAGGTTTGCCTGGTCAATTTCGAGCACATTTAAAAACGGCTCTTTTTACCAGATTCACCGGTATCATGGGTCTCTTGCTTACTCAAAATAATCTTCAAATATCTGTCAATGTTTTATCCCTTTTCGAGTGTGACATGTTTTTTTAACCCTGCAAGCTTATGTCCAAATCCCATAGTCTGTTATTGCTATTTCGGGAAAATGTTTACCTTAGTCGCTAATTGTGCACGGTATGTTTTAGGACTGGCAAAAATAAACGAATACCAAATTGGCTTGCAGTTGACCATCTTATTATTTACATTTGTTATTGATATTTCTGGGGGAAAGGTATATATGTTCTCAAATTATATAACAAGGTTCCTCATAGTGTGTAGATATACATGGGCGATTATGGAATGGGTAGATAAAATAAAAGGCCTGAAAGATCTTTTTCACATTTCCTTCATGTATGTAGGTTCACCTTGACCCCTAGTTTTGGCCTTTTGTTTTCGGGACTAATCAGAAAATAAAATGCCTAGAGGAGATCATTTTGGATTTGACAATGACATATTTTTTTGTTCGATAATTATTGTAAAGGTTTTCATTTTCATAAAATTATTTGTACATCACGTACGAAAACAGAGAAAAGAAGGAAAAAGAACATTTAAAGATGATTAAACAATGGTGCAGGTAAAGGTGATTCATTTCAAAGTTTACTTTGGAACCATCTCATGCTACTGGTTCAATGTAATGGCTCACAGTCTCTTGATAAAAGCAAGATAGATTGAATGATGACGTGCAGCTAACACATAAAACACGTCTGTTCTCAAGCATGCGAGCTATATACCTACTAGCTAGGTGAAGGTCGTACGATTCGGGAACATGAATCAATACGAGGCTGTCGTTTTCCCGGCGAATATTCTCCATGTACCCTGGAATAAGAATTTCAAAATGATGGATGAGATCAGGAATAGAGCATGTCCTAGTAACTGTATGATTCTAAAGATATACTATTTTAGTGACTGTTTACCTCTAAAGATATACTATTTTAGTGACTGTTTACCTCTAAAGATATACTGTATTAGTGAATCTATGCCTCTAAAGGTACACTGCTATAGTGATTACATTAAGACTGCTTTCATCGTCCTTGCCTTAATACTAGTATTGATTGTTTTGATGATTGCTCGCCTCAGCTGAGCCATTGTTTTGGTGATAACACATCTTTAAGGAGCCATTGTTTTTGTCAGATGCAGTGTAGCTCAGGATACAACCGAAAGTTGTTGTGCTATCGTGTAGGTAATTTGCCCTACATAATTAAACACCAACCGGACTCTCCAAAACCTGATTTGGAATTAATTGCATCTTATGAGGATAATTTGGTAAAAGATTTATCAAAATCTATATGTTAAGTCTTTAGAACAAGTATTTTTTATTCTTTGTCATGATTTTCGTACGACACTGTTTTGTCAGCAATCATGGGTGTCAAATACTGAAATAAAAAAGGAAAGCTTTGAAGTAGCGCGACGTTAAACACAACAGAAGTGAATATTGTCAACTAGATGATATGATATATATGTCTTAAACATTGTAGATTTTCACCATTAATATGCCGTGCCAGCATAGCATCTTGATCAGTACAATTCTCATGTTGGGTAAAAACCTTCCGGTCTTCAGATTTTAGGAGTTCCAGGTATCGATCTAAATTTACCTTGACTCTTTGTCATTGGCACGACCAACTAAGGTCATTTGGAATAAACGCGTCTATGAATCAGCTTCTTAGCTAGACACCAGCTTTTTCCTATCGATGCGTGTACTTTTTAGCGACAGAAACGTTATCATACACATTCATAAATTTATAATTCAGCCAAGAACCATCCATAACTTCTGCATATCATTGTCGTAGATCAATCGACAACCATGACAAGCGATAATCCTTGATTTAATAGCTGAAGATCATTGCCATTTCCTATATAATTATATAATATATAATAAAGATCAAATAAGATGAAGTACACGAGAAAGAAAAACATACAACATTTCATAATGAGATTTGTGTACCTGTAGGTATACTGACCACGGTTTCTTCGGTTCTTAGAACGCACCCAATAAGTTGTCTGGTAGTGCAGAGGTAACGCACCTAATAAGTGGTCTAGTGGCGCAGAGGTAACGCACACAATAAGTCGTCCGGTGGTGCTGAGGTAACGCACACAATAAGTGGCGCAGAGGTAACGCACACAATAAGTGGTCTAGTGGCGCAGAGGTAACGCACCTAATAAGATGTCTAGTGGCGCAGAGGTAACACACTCAACAAGTGGTCTAGTGGCGCAGAGGTAACGCACACAATAAGTGATCTTTTGGCGCAGAGGTAACGCACATTATAAGGTAAAAGTTAACATCTTAACTCAATGTTCCTTTGTCTTTGACAGTGTAAATATCTTATTAAAAATAAAACACAGTCCTTTCACCTAGACGTCCGTGGTAAGATTCCTGGTATTATGTCTGTTTTACATGTAACCACGCGAGTTTTCTGTAATTACTCTGGTATCTTAATTTGGACCAACATCAGTGAATACGTTGAATAATTTGTTTCGCTGTTGTGTCACACAGTTACCAACAACCAAGTTTTATCACTCAATCACAATAATTCGAAACTTGTCTCACAGTCACTAAGGCCTCAGCATACGTTTAAGATTATCTAGGACTTGTTGCACAATTACAATTCCACGGCCTTGTCAAACATTTACAACCACGCGGACCGTTTCACATAGTCACATTAACTCAGACGTTTGTCACAGAATGCAAGTCGTTTAGATATAACCACACGATCACTAGTCACAACCTTCTTACACAATCACTTCGACCTTGTCATAAATCTACCATCACTAGAAACTTCTCTCATTAACTAAATAACTTGAATCTTGTCACAAATTTACCATCACGCGAAACTTCTCTCATTATCTAAATAACTCGGACCTTGTCACAAATTTACCATATATTATTATAGAGGCAAGCAGTCCTGTTCTGGTTAACTCCCTTCCGTCCTTCGTTATGCTGACAAGCAGTCCTGTTCTGGTTAACTCCCTTCCGTCCTTGGTTATGGTGACAAGCAGTCCTGTTCTGATTAACTCCCTTCCGTCCTTCGTTATAATGACAAGCAGTCCTGTCCTTGTTATCTCCCTTCCGTCCTTTGTTATGGAGATGAGTGTTTAAGTCGTGGTTATCTCCCTTCCGTCCTTCGTTATGGTGACAAGCAGTCCTGTTCTGATTAACTCCCTTCCGTCCTTCGTTATACTGACAAGCAGTCCTGTCCTGGTTATCTCCCTTCCGTCCTTTGTTATGGAGATGAGTGTTTAAGTCCTGGTTATCTCCCTTCCGTCCTTCGTTATGGTGACCAGCAGTCCTGTTCTGATTAACTCCCTTCCGTCCTTCGTTATACTGACAAGCAGTCCTGTCCTGGTTATCTCCCTTCCGTCCTTCGTTATGCAGACGAGTGTATATGTCCTGGTTATCTCCCTTCCGTCCTTCGTTATGGTGACAAGCAGTCCCGTTCCGGCTTTCTCCCTTCCGTCCTTCGTTATGGAGATAACGATCTTAATGCATTAATAATTGATTCTGTCCGCGAATTTTCCAAATTAAATCTGTTATTCATGATTCATAGTGTTCCACAATAAAGTTATTCATTGCCTTATTACAACTTTAAATGAGGATGTTGATCCTTCTATGAATGAATTATGGTTCATGTTTGCTGATTATACCATTCCACAAAGCGCATTCGGCATCGGTCTGACAATGTAATACTCTCGGATCAGACAGGATTCATCATATATATAGGCATTGACATTTTAAGAGGTAAATCATTTGTTCTCATCGATTGTTCATGTGTTTCTCAGTAACAATACGTATTCCATATCAAAAGAAAGGAAAACGAAATATCACACTACATTCCCCCTCCCTTACATATACACTATTACATCCACATATAAGAGTAAATCACACATCTTTACAAACAAAGAGGCTTATAACAATGTTTCTGGGGGATAAGGACATGTATTGTGTAATATAACTAGTAAAGGGACCAACGGAAATTCGAACAAATTCCGTTCAACAGTTTTGATACATCAACTACCTGCAAGGTAAATTAAATACATCTTACAGCTCATTTTTAATGAGAAACAAACGTTTTACACGATGTAATGGTGACAAATTAGTGTGGTATCCAATGACAACGCCGATGGTATGTGATTAATTCACTTTCAGGTAACATATTTCAGAGACATTTATATATATATTGAAACTGCAAAGATAAGTATCCAGTTCAAAAAATCCCTGAAAACAAACTTCTTTTCGAGCAGAACTTCATTTAAACATTAGATCAACCGCCATTAGTTTTGGCATTACCAAAATAGAAAAGGGGCATTTTCATTTTTCAAAAGGCGTATTTGATTTGTCAGTAACAATTCACACCCCCAGACATGCCAGTTCACACTCCTAGACATGTCAGTTCACCCTCCCACATGTCAGTTCACACTCCTAGACATGTCAGTTCACATTCCCACATGTCCGTTCACACTCCCAGACATGTCAGTTCACACTCCCACATGCCAGTTCACACTCCCAGACATGTCAGTTCTCTCTCCCACATGTCAGTTCGCACTCCCAGACATGTCAGCTTTCACTCCCACATGTCAGTTCACACTCCCAGACATGTCAGTTCTCACTCCCACATGTCAGTTCGCACTCCCAGACATGTCATTTCACACTCCAAGACATGTCATTTCACACTCCAATATATGTCAGTTCACACTCCCACAAGTCAGTTCACACTCTCACATGTCAATTCACACTCCCAGACATGTCAGTTCACACTCCCACATGTCAGTTCACACTCCTAGACATGTCAATTCACACTTCCACATGTCAGTTCACACACCCATAGATCAGTTCACACTCCCACATGCCAGTTCACACTAATAGACATGTCAGTTCACACTCCCAGACATGTCAGTTCACACTCCTAGACATGTCAATTCACACTTCCACATGTCAGTTCACACACCCACACGTCTGTTCACACTCCCACACATCAATTCACACTCCCATACATCAGTTCACACTCCCGCATGCCAGTTCACACTAATAGACATGTCAGTTCACACTCCCAGACATGTCAGTTCGCACTCCCAGACATGTCAGTTCACACTCCCACATGTCAGTTAACACTCCTACATGTCAGTTCACACTCCAAGACATGTCAGTTCACACTCCCACATGTCAGTTCACACTCCAAGACATGTCATTTCATACTCCAAGACATGTCAGTTCACACTTCCACATGTCAGTTCACACTCCCTCATGTCAGTTCACACTCTCACATGTCAGTTCACACTCCCACATGTCAGTTCACACTCCAAGACATGTCAGTTCACACTCCCAGACATGTCAGTTCGTACTCCCAGACATGTCAGTTCACACTCCCACATGTCAGTTCACACTCCCACATGTCAGTTCACACTCCAAGACATGTCATTTCACACTCCCAGACATGTCAGTTCACACTTCCACATGTCAGTTCACACTCCCAGGCATAATATCAATTCACACTCGGAGACATCATATGTTCATTCTTCTTATGCGGGAATGACGGATATAGTGTCAAAATGTGTAACTCGAGTGAAGGGAACCTAATTTTGAATTAACGGCAACGGCTACTATGACACTGTGGACACAGCAGTGCAAAATATAATAAACGGAGGAGAAACTTTCGAAATCCTTATTCTGTTGGGATTTAGATGCTTTAATCTAGTTTTGTATCAATTATTAGTCCGAGTTCCGAGAAATGTTGTGTTGTGTGTGTGTGTGTGTGTGTGTGTGTGTGTGTGTGTGTGTGTGTGTGTGTGTGTGTGTGTGTGTGTGTGTGTGTGTGTGTGTGTGTGTGTGTGTGTGTGTGTGTGTGTGTGTGTGTGTGGTTATGTCTGTCTGTGTGTGTGTATGTGGGTGTGGGTGTGTGTGTATGTGGGTGTGTGTGTGTGGCTATGTTTGTCTGTGTGTGTGTATGTGGGTGTGTGTGTGTGTGGGTGTGGGTGTGGGTGTGTGTCTGTCTGTCTGTGTGTGTTTCTGTGTGTGTGTTAACGGTGAAGCATGAAACATAAGTATTTGCGAGTACGGGTTGGGCCAAAGAGGAGTAAAAGATTAAAAGCTTTAGGATTAGTGTCACACAGCAGTGAAGAAATTCTAGCAGTTGTGTTGTCCAATTATGAGAATGTGTTTACAGAGGATGGGGAAAATCAATATTAAGGCATGTGTGTTATGACAAATACATTGTATGGTTAAAATCGATAAATGAAAAATAATTCTGTGTAGAGCTATCAGGATATATTATGTTTGTTACCTTTAAAAATCTGTTTGGGACAAAAAATGGGGAATCATTTTTAATCCTGATGAAACTAAGTCCCTTCTTTTTCTCTTCTCAAGACAGATTGACTGAGATTTTACATCTTGCGTTGAACTTCAACAACTTGATTATAAAAAAATTGTTGGAAGTTATAATCATCTTGGTTTATTTTTCAACAGCCATGCTAACTGGTCAAATCGTGTAAATTATATTTATGAAAAAGTTTACCAAAGAATAAAAATTATATTACTTTCATTCGTCCAATTTTAGAATATGCGGACACAGTGTGGGCAAATTGTACCAAAGGAGAGACCAACATCATAGAGTCAATCTAACTTGAGAAAATACGTATAATAAGCGGCTTGAGACCGGGAGCAAGACAAAGGGTTAGGGTTAGAGACCAACATCATAGAGTCAATCTAACTTGAGAAAATACGTATAATAAGCGGCTTGAGACCGGGAGCAAGACAAAGGGTTAGGGTTAGAGACCAACATCATAGAGTCAATCTAACTTGAGAAAATACGTATAATAAGCGGCTTGAGACCGGGAGCAAGACAAAGGGTTAGGGTTAGAGACCAACATCATAGAGTCAATCTAACTTGAGAAAATACGTATAATAAGCGGCTTGAGACCGGGAGCAAGACAAAGGGTTAGGGTTAGAGACCAACATCATAGAGTCAATCTAACTTGCGAAAATACGTATAATAAGCGGCTTGAGACCGGGAGCAAGACAAAGGGTTAGGGTTAGAGACCAACATCATAGAGTCAATCAACTTGCGAAAATACGTATAATAAGCGGCTTTAGACGGGGAGCAAGACAAAGGGTTGGGGTTAAATACAGAGAATCTGATTTATTTTTCATTTGTAAAACGTCGTCACCTTCATCGAAATATTTCATATATGTAATGTTGGCCCTGCTCAGGTTTATGATTCAAATCAACCTTATATCATTAATAATACTGATCAATATCCTCTCATAATGGAATTTTCAATGTTCTAGTAGCAAGACATCAAATATATCTTACCAGCTATCCCTAAAATTTATGTCTGAATAGAATAATAATCTTGTCTGTTTTCCACAATGGCGTTCATTAGTACAATAAAAATATGTCTTATTTCAACCTGTTGCAGATGCCGAACACCACCGCACTTCGTTAATGGGAAAGTAATTTCAATATAACTTTATGTAAGTTGGGAAATTCTGTTCGTACTTTGAACGCCGATTTATTTACCACCCACATAATACGTAGCCTTGTTTGTACCTCTTTTAACTAGCCAAAGACAGCAGACACCTCTTAACACTCAAACATTTCTAAATGGCTGTCACGAGTTAGATACAGTCACGAATAAATCTATTCTTGAGTTGATTAAGAGATCCATTACTGATACCAGACGTCTTTTTCAAACATCCAATTCAGACATTATTGTGTCAGGTTTTGTCTGCTTGTTATCTGTATGGATTCAGCAAAAGAACGTGAATTATGTATGGACAGTTTGGCTTTGCTGCCTTCCATGCCAATTGACTTTCGGACTGATTCTTGTCCCAGTCGTTGAGTGATATTATTACCACTAAAACTATTGATATCTATCACTGAACTCTTTCGTTATTTGACTAATGTGTATATTTATTTATAATAGCAAGTAGAGGGCTTTTATAGGCTATGCCTGTTTCCCAATTCCTGTTGTTAGTAAAATCATGACAAATAAAATATTCTGAAAAATACGTGTAACCTTAAACATTGAAGATGGTGTGAATATTAGTTCTAGTATCGTCCACTGACTTAAATCAGAGAGTGATTAATATGATCTTTTATTGTTTCCATTTGCTATGGTATTACAATGTCTGTTGGATAAACCTGTTCAATAAGATAATTACAGGTACAGGATCGTCAATATTACCATAGTCCCTGTTATTTTGTGTGTCACTGATATGGCTCTAGACTTGTATTTAACGTTCACCATTATCGTACTATGTAAAAGTGTGAGCACGCATTTTGATGACAAACCAACCGTGAGGTGACATTTTACTTATATACAGTTAAGTCTAGTAGGCATAACTTGTCAAGACAGTATTTTGTGAACAATGAATGATATCTAATTACCAATACGATTCGAATTACTTATACTCGGATTCATTTTATGGACAGCTTACAAACGTCACAGTGAATAACAAAAAAGGTCATTTATTTCATCCTACTTTTGATATCGTTTATATGCATGAATTGCATTGTATCAATAACTACTATAGAATAATTTTGCAATATTCTCTGAAAATACACCAAAACGTGGCACAGGAACTACGTCAATACACAGTACTCTGTGGAAGGAATTATTCGTATCGACCTCTGATGCCGCGAACACAAGACCTGCAATAATCAATAATCTACTGTCGTACAGCAACACTGCCTAGCCAATATGTTGTTGAATTATCTAAAATATTTTGTGCGTTTCGAACGCATTGCCATCTCGACGTAATTATGTTTTTACGGTTTTATCTTTATCAGAATATTTCTATTACTACAATCATTTGGTTTTTTCGTTCCAAGTGCTTGAAAAAATACCGGGTAGCTGGAGTAAAATGTGTAGTGACAACTAAATGGGGGCGTAAATCTAAGGAATTGTAAACAAACATCATCAACTTCTCTTAATCTTTCATATATTACCTGTAGTTAGACTTTATACTTATAGATATCAAAGTTGACCTTGACAGTGCACGATATATTACACTTGTGATCTATAAAGAGACAAATGGAAACAGAATGGCTATAATAATACCTTACTGTATACCACATTTGCTAGTCATTTACACTCCTGCTATGTGCATTTTATATACTTACAATCAAAAGCCTGTTCAGCGTATGCGCTTCCATCGATAGCAATCGCTACTACCCGAGTGTTGTCTGATTCCGCCATGTTTTATGCTTGTCAGGGACGATGATGACCGTTTGCTGAGGGATTTTGTGGTGCAGTGTTTAAACAACTGGCACTGTTACCTCCGTGCGGCTATGTGCTCACTGAAGAATATTTCTGGCCGTCAGAAGACATAATACAGAAGCTATCTGGTACAGCTTCAGGTCCTCGGCTATCGCATTGATTTCTATGCATACTCGTTATAGATAAGTGAGGCCTGACTATCAGTGACCCTGCTAGTATAGTATAAAAGTCATGTAGATACTTTATAGGTATCTCGTCCGCTGAAAGGCCGAAAGGTCGTATTAGTGGAAGTAAAACCCATTCAATAAATACATAATTTATTGTTATATAATTTATAGTCACGTGATGGCGTCAGCTATGGCACGTTCATAAACTCGCTCTGAAGAGAATCTATGGTTTTACATAATAATGGTCGAAATTTGTCAGTTTAATAGGACGGACTTGTAGCTTGGTGTTTGCTTTTTTCATGGACTCAAATTATTAACTGTGAAAAAGTGATTTAAAGGAGTAATTCTTGTTTATATGAGTACACCTGGACTGGTCAGTAAAAGTGAGTATATAAGTCCTGCTTCATTGGATGCAGAAAAACCTAGCGCCAGTAGAAGAAAACCTTCTGTATCAGACACTCCAACCATGGCTCATAAACCAGATGTAAATAATCAACAACCTAATCTCCTTACAAACCAGGGACAAACAATCAATTTAACTCAGCTCGTACAAGCTACTATAACTAACCCCAATTTTATAACTAGCATCGTTCCAAGTCTGGCATCAGCGTAAGGACCAATCATCGGTCAACAAATATCTGCCGTTATGAGCCCTTTCACGGAACAAATACAGTCCTTGTCTAAAGAATTGTCGGAAGTAAAACATGAAAATAACCAGTTGAAAGACGCTGTTATACAGTTAGAGGGTGAGTCGAAAACTTGGAGTGTTCTATAGAGGAATTAGAGCAGTACGGAAGACAAACTAGTTTCCGGGTTCATGGTGTTCCTTTGAAAATTGATGAGAAACAATCAACTGACGATAAAGTGTTAGAAATATGTTCCAAAATTGGTGTACCTATTACTTCTGAGGACATAAACATATCTCATATTATTGGTAAAACTCAAAACGGCAAAGCTCAAATTATCTGCAGATTTCGTAACTGGAAGGTGAAGAACAATATATATCAATCGAGACTTCAATTGAAAAATCACCCACCCCGCGCAAGAGTGTTCATTACTGAAGACTTGACGGTTTACAGGCAGAAAATAATCATGGGTTTGGCTCTGTGTAAAAAAGCTAAGAAAATTGATTCCTTTTGGACAAACGATGGGCGCATATTTTATAGACTACAGAAAGAACCGGCCAAAGTACTTGTAAAACGGTACAAGGATATCGCGGACATTGTTCCTGGAAACTGACCAGTGAAATCCAAACCTCTATGTAATATGTATATAATGTTGTTCAGTATTATGTTGTTTCTATGAGTCAGAAACATGTCATACTGAGGTTTTTGTGCTATATCATGAGAGTATTCTTTTTACTTGCCATTAATTATTATATAAGATGTTGTAAAAATTTTTTGGTAAGTCTATTTGTTATTAGCTCACGACGATCTACCTGAAATTATTATACATGTATGTACTGTTGGTAAGTGCACCCATAGTCCGAATAAAACACATATCTGAGCATGTACATATAGTAACACAAGTAATGAGGTGAAATCTACCCTGACCAATGTCTTCTATTAGCATGGTCATTGTGTCGTCTGCACGTACTTTGTACCCCAGTAGATTTACCTTGATTTTTGTCGTCTGCTATGATGTCTCGTATGGTAACTTATAAGTATAATGATAAACTTTTGTGTTGTACTACCGTTTTTACTTTTGTCTTCATTATAGAAATGGTTCTGCCCGAATTTTTGTGTTTAGAGGAGAGAAAACACATAATGTATTGTATGTAATGTTAACTAGTATTTATACTGAAAAGTACTTCAGTAAATCAAACTGCTTATATATATCAAGGGTACATCTATGTTTGCGTACACACGTGTTAGCTCACATTTCTAGTTGTAACTATATTTTGTATTTGATGTCTATAAGGGTAGCAGTTTAAACACTTCCAACTTATCATTACATTTTTCTTTTTTTTAATTCTTTTATTTTTTTGACAAGTTTTTACATGTTACACAATACACAATATACAAGAGAAACCACACAAAACATACACCCACACTCTCACACTTGTGTGCTCTTACTTGAATATGTCTTACACATATACATGGATCATCATCATCATCATCATCATCATCATCATCTTTATCATCATGCACATGTATCTTCTACTTACTGCACACAAACTCACTCATCAACATTCACACCCACTGACACTCGCATAGCAAACTTACATGTACTTAACAAAATACTCACACACACATACAATATCATATCACTTACACTTATCAAAGATATTTCCACACACACATACTCATGAATACATTTATATATATATATATATATATATATATATATATATATAAACTATACATCCGAAACAAAAAAGAGGGAGGGAGAGATAAACTATACATCCGAAACAAAAAAGAGGGAGGGAGAGAGGAGTAATAGAGAGAGAGAGAGAGAGAGAGAGAGAGAGAGAGAGAGAGAGAGAGAGAGAGAGAGAGAGAGAGGGAAAGAGAGAGAGAAATGGGAGGGTTATAATCATTATTAAATAAAAATAGCACTAATTTTGTGGAAATTCAATAAATTTAAAGTCAGTTTGGTAGAGCCAAGGCCATGGCCATTGGGAACAGACTTCTTAGCATACATACTATAGTTCCAAAATGGGCATCCATTTTTTCCAATTATTCTCAAAATTTGTTTTCATAATAGTGTTTTTGCTGGAAATGTTGTACTTTTGAACATGGAAATGATCCTTAATCTTATTTATAAGAGCATTTAGATTAAGACATTTTTGTAGAAATCTTGACATTTAAACATAGTGTTTAATGAGAATTCAAATTTCGTTATCTACAGTGTTAGCATTAGGATGGATAATTCCAAATAAATATGTTTCTTTGTTTATCCAAAAAGGAATCAGAAGAATATCAAGAAGAGATTCAAATCTCTCCAATAGAGTCTGTACCTCTATACACTCCCATAGACAGTGAACAATTGTTTCTCTTTCCATATTACATAGTGTACATAAAGGGCTAGGTATTATATTAATATTGAAAAGAAAGGAGTTCGTAACCAGAATGTGATGTATAATCCTTACTTGAAACCACTGTAGCTTAGAACTTTTTGTAATAATAAACGGAATTATTAATATATTTTTCCACTTCTGATCATCAAAGTGAAACTCATCACTCCATTTTCGAATACCAGTAGGGTTGGAGCTGGCTTAATAATAGCATTGTAGAAGTCTTTGTCACCTTTTTGACTTTTATAAAAAAAAAATTCCCATAGAAGTGGTATAAAAGGCTGAAAAAGTCCTAATGGATGGAAGTCATGTTTTCTCAAGAAACACTTGACGGCTGTAATCAAGCCATAATACTGTAAATAGTTGGTATTAATTAAAAATTTATGGAGAAACTCATCAAAGGAGAAAAATGTCAAATGATCAGAATTTTTAATTAGGTCATTGATGGTATATATACCAGCATTAAACCATACTGGATAGAAGACATATCTATTGCCCACTTGAATGTTATTATTGTACTATAAAGGGATTTTTAAAATTGACTCGGGCATACTTTTCCTATGTATATGTAAATCTTCAGCATACGCCATTACGTCATAAAGAGTACGAATATTTTCACCAATATAGCACCCAGATAAGAAACCTGTCTGATCCTCATTTATAAGCTTTTCTAGAACTGATTTTATCCTATGAGAAATTATTCCAGAAGCTATTTTGTAGGAAATGTTTAACAAAGAGATAGGTCTCCAGTTTTTTAAGAAATGACGTGGTTTATCTCCCTTTGGAAGAAAGTATATCTTAGTGTAAAGCTATCTGTATCGTCGGTCCTTAGTTCCGTTTCTAATCTTTTTGGGGTGAATATTTGTAACGTTTTCTTAATCTTTATTAATAATTCTGTGTATAGTTTAATATTATTAAACCTGTTGTTAATATGTATGGATGTTGAACTCAATCCCGGACCAAATATACATGAATAATCAATTTTTCACTTAATATTCGTAGTATTAGAAATAAGTTAAAGTATTTAGAAGATATAGCAAGTGAATATGACATAATTTCGATATCGGAAACTCATTTAGACGGAAAGATATCTTCCCAGGAATTAGAAATACAAAGTTTTAGTGAGCCTTTTAGAAGAGATAGAAATTCTGCTGGAGGCGGTGTTATGGTTTATGTTTCTAACCAAATTAAAGCAACTAGAATATACGATATTGAATTCGTGGATGGTGAATTAATATGGCTTCAACTGGAATTGCCGTCGAGTTGTATTTTCCTGTGTACTATCTATAGACCACCTAATGCGGCAAATTCCTTTTGGGATCATATGCATGCCTCTATTGAAAAAAATATTAGATATTACATCGAATATAAACATTGTTGAAGATGTCAACGTTGATTTAATTACAATGTCACAGTATCATAGACTCTCTGAAATTCTTAATAATTTTAATTTAAAAAACATTATTACCCAACCTACTAGAATAGGAAACATACGAGTTACTCTTCTAAATCCAATCATACTATCTGAATCAAGTAAATGTATAGAATCATCAGTATTGCCTATTACTAGAGACATTAGTGATCATGAAGCATGTATAGCATCTATTGAGGTAAATTTCAAATAAACAAAGTCTTATAAGCGTCAGGTTTGGTGTTATAAACATGCTGACTTTACTAAACTAAATAGATTAATAGAAAACTTTTCCTGGGAAGATATGATTCTTGAATCTAGGGATATTGAGGAAGCTTGTTTAAATTTTACTGATCAATTTATATCCTTTGCAAAAGAGAGTATTCCATCTAAACTTG